CTGTTTGTCTGTCTGTCTGTTGTCAACTTTAACCTTCGCCAAAACTTTTAAACCGTAAGAGATAGAGACTTCATATTTGGTATGCATACTCCTCTAATAAAGTCCTTTCAAATGACATTAAGGTCAATGACCTTGTGACCTTGACTGTGACCTATATGCTAAAAATAGCTTTTTACACTTTTTGCCATAACTTTTGAACAATAAGAGATAGAGACTTCATATTTGGTATGCATACTCCACTAATAAAGTCCTTTCAAATGACACCAAGGTCAATGACCTTGTGACCTTGTCTGTGACCTATATGCTAAAAATAGCTTTTTCCACTGTCTGTCCTAACTTTTTAACCATAGGAGATAGGGACTTCATATTTGATATGTATACTCCACTAATAAAGTCCTTTCAAACGACGACAAGGTCAATGATCTTGTGACCTTGACTGTGACCTGTATGCTAAAAATAGCTTTTTACACTTTTTGCCATAACTTTTGAACAATAAGAGATAGAGACTTCATATTTGGTATGCATACTCCACTAATAAAGTCCTTTCAAATGACACCAAGGTCAATGACCTTGTGACCTTGTCTGTGACCTATATGCTAAAAATAGCTTTTCCTACTGTCTGTCATAACTTTTTAACCATAGGAGATAGGGACTTCATGTTTGATATGCATACTCCACTAATAAAGTCCTTTCAAACGACGACAAGGTCAATGATCTTGTGACCTTGACTGTGACCTTTATGCTAAAAATAGCTGTTTACACTTTTTGCCATAACTTTTGAACCATAGGAGACAGGGACTTCTTATTTGGGATGCTTACTCCACCGATTAAGTGCTTTCAAATGACACCATGGTCAATGACCTTGACTGTGACCAATATGCTAAAAATAGATTTTTTGAACTTTGTTGCCGCCGGGCGCATAGTGTTTCACAAACACATCTTGTTCTCATTTTAATACCTCAAATTCTTTTATTTTTTAATAACTAGTTCACATACGAGTCTCCCGACCCATCTCGAGGTGAGATAGTGAGCAAGACGATGAGTCTGGTGCTGTGTGAGTTATCTCAGCTGGTAACGGGATTCACCTACTGCTACGAGAACGAGATGAGTCATTGGTGTAATAAATCCCCTCCAGTACTAAACGAGCTCGGCCCGGCATTCAAGAGGGTTTATAATTTACTACAGAGTTTTGTCAAGGTTTGTTCATGCAATCTCTTGAATTTTTTCCTTCTTTGATTATTTTCATTAAATTTTTAATGTGTTGTTTAAGAAAATAATACCTACGATGTGTACACAGGCCATATTTAATATATCACATTTTGGTTGGCTTTACTTTCTGACCATATACCCAGTTATAGTATTAGATCCAAAGACATATAAATTAGTGCAATACAGAATACACACATGTATTGTATGACAGGGTTTATTACATACTGAACAGTAAACCATCTACATGTATACTGATTATTTTTAACACTCCAAAGGCAAATTTTATGTTTCAAAGAACAAACTTTGTTGTTTTATTAATCTCTATCACATTTTAATTTTCTGTATTTCAGTTAATAAAGGATTTTGAATCCATAAGAGACTCCTATACACATCTTAGTCGAGACACCAAAATCAATATACAGAGATCTGTCAAGACCAAGAAAGCTAGTCTAGGCAAGTATAGTTTTCTCTGTAGTATAATACTTATCATCAGAATGGCACTGGTGGGCACTGTCAGCTAGACTAAAATAAAGTTATTCAATTAACTTAGGTTTCAAAAAGTGTTCAAAGTCAATGAATAAGAAAAAAAATTTAATTGGTATAAATCAGTATGTAATAAAAAATTATACAGAGAAAGGGGGTTCCAGCATATCGAAGCGGTGAAAACTTAACAAAATACTGATGAATTTATCTTCTTTCTTAGAGAAACTTCAATCTTAATACTAAAGTATCAGTTGTCAGCTTTGGTATTTGTATAAATCAGTATACTCCCATAATCAGGATACTGTTTTGATTTCAACCTGGATTCCAATCATACTGTGAAATCACTAATTTTTAATATGGAGAGACCCATGAACTCATGACCACCACGAAATGTAAAATTTCATATCCATTACTACTAAACATTTTTCAACCACGAATTCAGATCCCCACAAACCAAAAAAATTTTCCTCAAACCTCGAAAATTTGACCCCACGAAAACGTGTGATTTTACAGTATTATATTTTAAAATACCTCTTCTTTTTTCCTATTTAGTTAAATATATTCCAACTTAGCTTGTCCTCAGCATTCTTATTAAAATCAATGTATAGATTTTATATATTAGGGCATATTGATACTCAAATCATAAAAAAATGCATTATCAGTGGATGTTTTATTTTTACTACTAGTTGTACAGTCAGAGCAAACACATATGCAAGTATTGTGGCTTACAGCAAGATGGTATTCATTCCTTCTGGCTTTTGCATTTATAATAATTAACATTTATAGCAAAGCAAAATCGTCTGCCACTGGCACTTAGTTTTAACTTCGGGTGGTTTTCTCTGAATTATAGAAAATAGAGACTGAAAAATATAAGCAGAATTCCAAAAATTTTAGAATACCGATAAACCATGGGGGGTTGACATTTGAACCAATTCATGTTGTTTCCATTAGTAAGCAAGGACAAACAATTTGATGTGATACAAATATTATACCCATTAATTGTAGCATACGTAAATGAAGAAAAGAAATGAAAGTCACTTTGCTGTAAGTGTTCATTCATTATACAAGTGTGTTGGCTGTAACTGTGTTTTAATGGACAGGAGCTAGTTCTCATGTTATCTCTCATAACCGAGTCCCTTTTCTGGTCCAAGTTTTTTTCTTTGTTTAGCATCCACTCATATTTCAAAAACCCATCTACCTTTGCACAAAAAAACACAAGACAAATAAATAGAAAAAAGATTTCAGGAATATGGAGATTTTTTTCTGACGACGGGTGTCAAAACAAGGTGCAGGCGGAGGCTAAACAAAGAAAAAAAACTTGCCATTGCCAAATCTGCCTAAGAGACGAGACAAACCTGAATAGACAACTTTCTTATTGCCCTTTTGGGATCAATCAGCGTTACCCACTTGTTCCATAACATAATACAATTTTTATAAGCCAGTATCTCACAAATTAAATAATTTTGTTTAAATATTCATCATGTTTTCTGCGTTCCCCCAAACTCTAGTAATACAGGACTGAATGGTACAAAATTGTCAAAAAGCATTTGATGGTTTTGATACTTTTAAACAAGTGACAAAAGATATACATGTATTGAGAGAATGAAAATGCCTTCATAACAAAAGAAGGTAACTCTAACGAATGTGAAAGTCGTCTATTACAGAAAGTCGAACTTCTCATATTACTTTTCTACTTCCTTTTCATTTAACTGTAATTCATGAAAATATTTTGCTTACTCTAATCATGACATGAGTATTAACCTTTAATATTCGACCGATAACCATTGGGCGGTACTAATCCCAGTTACTCTTATAAAACCTTCAAAAACAAAAACAGGAGACAACTGTTCATTTTCATCATTTATTGAATTCTTCAATATGAGTATTTCATCCAAAGAAAAATCTTAGCAATGAAGTATCTTTTTCATTGAAAGTTCATGTTAAGGTTTCTGCTGGCAAAACATATATACTAACCTGTATTAAATTCAAACCTGGAAAAAAATTAATAATACAATTAAATATTAGGTAAATGCAACTTATTTATCTTTCAATAGCAACAGCAGGACAGGAAATGTTGGAGAGCCTCCAAGAGTGTGTTACTGTTCTCGACGAATCTGTTCATCGCGGGACAGCAAATTCCAGTCATTCAGTGCTGGAGGTGTCCAAGCTTGCAAGATGATGGTTGTCCACACAGCAAGGAGGTGCAATAAATGCTTGGATTTACGTCCTGGGCTTTAAAAGGAGAGGGTATTTGTTTAGCCTCAAGTACCAATCAAATATAAACATGATTAGATATTATAACACTGTGTTGCAATCAAGTGTTCTCGACTCCAATTAAAAAATATTTTCAAAACTCGATTGAGGACTTGAACTGTACCAGAGAAACCATTTTCATTTTGTGTACATTCTTGATTGTCTATAATAAAATTGTACAGAACATGCCACTTCAGGTTTTGATGTAAAATGCTAATATAGAAGTATGTTATTATTATGTTGTTTACTGAAGTTTCGGTACATTGTATATCTGCTGTATAACTTCAAATATGAAATAACCTCATCTTTACACCAAAGTTGCAACATTTGCAATTCTTTTCAATATGAGCACTGTACCACTTAAATAAAACCATTAGGTCATTTAAACTACACCATTTTAGATAACCACATTTCATAAATAAGAGTTTTGCACACATGTATTGGTTCTCAATTTTCCAAGATTTTTCAGCAAACAATGCAATAAATGCTTGATTGAATATGGATATAGCGGAATTGCTACCGTGATGATGATCAATATAAACATGTACTTAGTCAATGCAATGGTCAATATGGTCTATGATGCCAAACAAGTCCCGAGACTTTCAAGTTAAGACAATCAACTCTCAGTTTTTGAATAACTTATCCCTTGAACATTTCAAAAATTATGGGATATTTTCAGTTGGCGGTTGTCAAGACTTGCAAGTTTCAGGACTGTTTGTATTTGGTAAAAAGCAGACCATTTACCTTGGGTTAGATTGAGGCTGTACTGCACCCTTTAGGGGGCCCCTTTGGCCACCTTGGTACAGTGTTCCCTTAGATTGGATGTGGCCTCGACTGAAAAATAAAACTTATAGGCATTAGAATGGAATACACTCAATACATGGATAAAACACAATTTAATAGTTTCTTAAAAGGTACATAGAATTGGATTAAAAGATAATTTTTAAATTGTTCTGGATTTTGAGGTTTTTTTTTCTTTATGCACAGCTGAGCTGTTATAAAAAGTCAACATTCAATACAGCACTAGTTCATAATGAATTTCATTTTTTAAACATTATTTTTAGCTACAAGATACAGCAAGTAACATTCTTTTCAACTGGTCGTTTTCCCTTTGAAGATTGAGATTTTCCCTTTTGAGTTGGTTTATCACTCCCTTTTTCCTTTGGCGTCTGGTTTTCACTTCAGTAAACTGAACACTGGTAGGGGAACATTCCAATTCTTTTTCCAAAAGTTCGGCTTTGGATTCCATTGAACAAATAGCTGAAATAAGTTCTGATTTGCTCAGACGAGAAGCCTCATCAATCTGAATAGAATTGTAAGCATCTTCAAAGTCTTTCTCCATAAAAGCCTTGGTATCCTGATCAGCACTATTTATAGAATCATTCAAGTCGTCCATCTGGAATAACAAAGAATCGTCTGCTGGCTCGGGCGGTTCAACAATGGACGCATCTGAGTCGTCTGAATAGTGAAGGCGCTGACCCCAGGGGTCAGGGGACTCAAAACCAAGAAACTCGCAACTGTATGTAAAATGATCATCCATCAAAAACTGTGTCGAGTTGTGGGGAGCTTTAGGGCTATATCTAGGCCTCAAAATGGTTTGGCGCCTTCGGTTACCTTTGGCCTGTCGCTGCCGATATTTTTTCACTGGTGACATGCCCTCTGAATCTCCATCGTAAGGAGAGAGTCTTTCGCAGCTTAGACAATTTTCCAGATTTCCTTTTATTTCACTAACCTCGTGAGTATCTCGCAAGTTCCTGTTCTTTTTCTTGCCCCGTCTTGTTTTCTTCGATCGACGTAAACTTGCTCCTTCTAGAAAATCCATTCTTTCTGCCAATTGAAATTTCTTCTTTAAAAAATCTGGGATAACGTTTTTCTGGTTATGAATTTGATTAATTTCCATAAGCATATTTTTTTGATATGAATCTTTGTACTACACGTCCTCCTCCGACGAAGAGTATCTGCTGAATACGTTGCAAAATCGTTGGCAACAGTTCTTATAAACTAAGAGCACGTGACCAAATCGTCGTAAATACGAATATCACGTCACAACACGAAAATACCCCAATAGTCTTCGTCCGTAAAACGTTTTAAGACATCCGATCCCGATCTAATATTAAAGCAAAATGGCATGATTATTAATTTTAAGTAATTTTGCAATAAAAGTAACTATATAAAATGTAAATTAATTTTTTTCAAATATAGTTATGGTTTTAAAAGTAGATTTCACTCAATTATATTAACATTTTATTTTTTATTACTTTCAGTGCTTTTTTTGTTTATTCATGTGCATGCCACTTTTGTAAAGTTGATATTTCGTTCGAAGTTGGAACAGTAGAGTAATTCATTTAATGAAACTTTTAAGCTCTCGTTAAGAACTAAAGCATGGTGACAGAAAGTTGTCATGTTCTTCAAAATATATTTCAGAGCTTTGCCTCTTACGAATCAGGGGCCCGTTTCACAAAACTATCTTATGACTATAAGATCTGTCTTAAGACCGAAAATTATCGTAAGATTGTACCATAGCTGTTTCACAAAACTTTCATATCTTATGATAATCTTAAGATCTATCATAATCTTAAGACAACTAGATACATGTCTTAAGTCTAAAATGAAACTTGCGACAGTATGTATTTTGGCTAAAAACCGAAGGATATTTAAAGAAAACGGTTTTTAGAGATAGAACAACGCTTTGGACTATATCCTGATAGTCCCCAATAATTTTCAAAAAAAAAATATACGATAGAAATATTAAAATGCACCTACTTTATGTTTTTGCACTGTATTCATTTCAAGACATTTTCTTTGGTTGTGCCCCCTCCCAACTGAATTGCAACCCAATTAATTTCAAAGAAAACATTTTCTTGAGTCGTACAAAATTAGAATAAAATCAAATAGTTTAACATCTAATCCACCGGAATAAGTAAGACAATTCAATATGCTGCAATATTTGATGATGTATGTGCATGTACATGCTTTCTTTATGCTTTTTATAATAGTATTGAAACCGTAAAATTTTGATTGGAATTTTTTCTGTCGATTCTCTCCTTCATTTGTTAGCATTAATATTTTGTTGCAGTAGTTGAAGCGTTTCAAAGACACCTGCATCGAATTAATTTTATGAACGAACTTTGAACACGATTTGGTGTTTCAAAAGCAGTTATTGTTAAAATCGTTCATTATTTGCAAAGCTTCTGATACACTTGTAGTTTTAATTTAAAGTAATCACATGCATTTTATCAGAAACTTCTATTTCCTGAGCAAAAAGACATTTAAGCAAGTTTTATTAATCAATTTTGTGTGATGAAATTAATTAAATTTTAATGACCCCCTCCCCTTCCCAACACACACACAAAGTACATTAAAGTTGATGCAATAAAATTTTGTTTTTTTTCCGAGGGTATATCTGTAAAAGAAACTACCGCCGGTATATGAGACACACATTATTTCAATATTTCAAAGAAAATTAAAGAAAGACTTCGTGAAAACATTTTTCTAATACCAGTTGGTATTGAAGAATGGAATTTGTCTTAAGACTTGTCTTAAGATTTCTTATACTTAAGATAGTTTTGTGAAACAGCAGTGACAAATCTTATGATCGTCGTAAGTCAGATCTTAAGATAATCGTAAGATCTATCTTAGGACAAATCTTACGATAGTTTTGTGAAACGAGGCCCACACTGTAAAAAGAAGTGTAAATAATTTAACACAATTATTAACACTATTCTGGAAACACTTAATTCACGCGTTAAAGTGTGAATACATTTACGGGTGTGTTAATCTATAAACATGTAGAAATGTTAAATAAAATTAACGCATTACACGTTAAAACCCCTGGAAACACTTAATTCACGCTTTAACGTGTTAATTCTGAAACTGGTGTTTAACATTTAACACACGTTTCGAAAAAAAAAAAAGATATTAATCCTCATTATTATCCTTTTGTCTGTTGTCCTGTAGGAAAAAACAAATATAAATACACATGTACGAGAATAATTTTATTTTTCAACACGTGCATGTAAAATTGCCTACTAAATTAGTTCATATTTGTAGTTTTGTGTAAAAATACCACCAGCCAATGTTTTAAAATATTCCAAAACAGTCCGTAGATTACTGCATGGGTAGTCCAAGTCAAATACATAATACGACTTTGCTTTGAGCACACACAGCAGTCACAAAAGATCCTGTTGTTTCTTGTGTTTTAATCCGTTTATGTCCAAATTTTGCTCACATTTTAAGTAATCGTCTGAGTAGGCGAACACAATCCAAAATGTTCTAAGTTGTTATCCGAGATACAATATAAGAATTCATAGTCCAAAGAAAAATAATTTAGATTCACTACCATGTAAGTCCAAAATTATCAAGTTCACAAAGGCAAACGTCGTCTCCGATGATCGATGTACAATGTATATCACAAAATTCTTCATCATTTAAAAAGCTACTTTGGAAGGGGCATATTCCTCTTCAGACTCGAGATGTTTTGAAATTCTTTGATGACAGGTCTTCTTTTGACTGGGCATTCTAAATAAATATGATGGAAGTGCATAAGCAAATACTTAGTACAACGTTTATAAATTAGTACAATATCCACTCTTTGTTTACATGGTTTACTTGACTCAACCGACCAAAGAATGCAAAAGTTTCTAAAAAATAATATTAACACAAATGTTATTGAAATAGAATTTGTAGTACAATTCTAGAAATAGCTTAAAAATGATAATCAACTTACCCTTGCACACAAAAACACACAACGAAGTTGGTCTTGCTTTCTTTGAATTTTCTGCTGACCGCTTTCTTTGAAACAAAGAAATTTTTTATGCGGCGGCAAAAGGTCAGGTCAGCTAGAGAGAGGTCAGTTTCAGTGATGTAATTCATCACTAATTTATACACTTAATGTGTTAATAAAATGGTACCTACTTTTAACACTGGTGTTAATAGTTAACAATACCGTATGTATCTGTTATTTGCTTTTGAGTGTTTTTTCCCCACCAAATGCAATTCAAGGATTTTTAATGATGTTCTGACAAACAGATTAGGAATATTACTACTTATTTCAGCTAGTGTACATGTCATGCATATAAATTGATATAAACCAAAATCATAATCATATACATATTAGTGAAATAAGGTATTAAAATGTGTTCAGAAAATATACCAGTTGGGGGGGGGGGGAAGGGGGTTACCAAAATTCTTACACATCAAAATGTTTTGCATTCTAAAATGAAAGGTAAAGAAAATAGTTATATTAATTGAAATAAACTTGCAAGAAGACTGAGGGGCTATTAACACATAATATGTTAAAGCAGAACACATGGAATGTTTACATGTTCATGTGTTTAAGATTTTACACCTTTAATATATGACGATTAAAGATTTAACACTACCGTAGATCAATTAACATATGAACATGTTAAAAATGAACACTACTTTTTACAGTGCAGGTACCTTTTTATACATGAAAAGTATTAAAAATATAAATGTTTGACCAGTCCTTCAATGTTCTGTTGCAGCGTTTCAATTTGATATATCAAACTTCATGCATATTTTTCATACGCCACCACTGACCCTTATTTGACTATACTGCATCAAACTGTGGGATGGGGTCGGGCGATCTTTTTATAAGATGAACGTTTTGTTGCTATGTGCCTGTTGAAAGTGGCCGGGGGGCGGGGGGGGTACCGACCAGAAAAAGTGTTTGGAGACTACGCCCAAATGTTCAATGCTTAATAAATATGTAGTATGTCTATCTTTGTAAAATAAAAGTGGGAGGGGGAGGGGGGCTAAGCCCCACCTTACGCCCCCCGTTTTTGACGCTTAAGTTTTTCTTATATTTATATTGTAAATGATCCAACATGACCCATTTATTTAATTACCCCTCCCCCCCCCCCCCCCCCCCCCGAATCCCGTATTTTTTTTTTAAATAAAGTTGCTTAAAAAGAGGAGTATTAAGGATGGGAGAAATGAGGTTTTAATATTTAATTTGTAAACTCTTCTTTTTGTTGTTTAGACGCTGTATGTGTGTGAATTTATTATACAAAGCTAAATGGACAAAAATGTTAAGAAGTAGTAAACCCTATCAAACATGACTATCGCCTCGCCTTAGTACACGTAAAACGTGACAGTATAGTTGTCTTATAACCAGTAGGATTAGAAAGAATCATGCACGCAGTTTTGCTGACTATGATAAAAAATATCCATGAATGTTGATCGATGGTAATTTAAAAAGTGGTGCAGATGTTACTTTTACTTCAAATAAAATATCAAACAATTATAGAAATGAATTTCGATCACTACATGTTCGTGTGTTTTTTTTTTAAAATTCACTGTTTACTTTCTTTTAAAATTGATTCACTAATGAATACAACATACCCATGGGAACAGGGAATTTTGTAATGTAATTGAACATTAACTCAATTTCTTGTTTATTAGAATTTGAGAGCGAAAATTTCCTAATTCAACACTACAGTGGCAGACAAGTAGTTCGTGTAGGAACCTGTGAAACAAAATATGTATACTGAGAACGAATTCAAAAAGTGGGCTCAGGATTTTTTTCGTAGAATATAGGAATCCAAATGCATCGATTTGTTTGATTAACCTTAATTCCTATAGCTTTATAATATTAATGATTACATTTTAAAGAAAAATAAACATTTAATGTTTTTGAATAAGGATGGGACAGATTTTTTAAAAAAAATAAATAAATAAAAAAATAAAGCCTTCGTTATACATAGATCCTAAATTATGGCAATCATGTGCTAATAACATGTAATTAGACATGTGCCTGATGAAGATAAATTTTCACCATTCATGTCAGCCTTATAATTTAACCCCCCACAGTGTTGCACAGTGTGCACACTGGCCTGACTATGTATCTTTGGTGTCGTGCGGATATATAATTATGTAAATGCACAGATAATAAATTATTTGACATGTTCACTTATATTATTTCAGGTGTCAAATAATAATGTCAAGAAAACGTGTCTGGGTAAACAATAAAAAAAAATTTAATTGACTGTATTTTAACTGAATAATTAAGGGGGTTATGTATTTTTTCCTTTATCCGTGACGATGATACGTCCATGCAGATATATAGTAAGACAGCCGAAGATATCATTCCGGGAAATACATAATGTTGAGAAAAATATATTTCATTGTTTTCCTTATTAAATACATTTTATTATGGTATTACGAGACGATCGAGAAGACAGGACCACTTTTTTCAAAAGGACTAAGGGCTGTGAACAAAATGTAATTTTGCGAATAAATTTTATTATTTTTTATATGTATGAATTTGACAATAGTTTAAACGTTTTTGTTTGTTTGTTTGTTGTTGATGATTTTTTAAAAAAAGAAATTCAAAGATATTTCTATGCTATGCATTATTTTTAAAAATAGAAACATTAATTTTACGATCAACTTAAGTTTTTTTTGTCTTACTATTGTATTCGCAATATCTATTGTTTGTTAAACAGGTCCCAGATATCAAGTAATAAAGACAGGACGTACAGTTAGTCAGTACAATATTACTCGATTTTTTTATTTTTTACCTCGGGCTCAATTCTCGAAATTCAAGCACAATGATAACACGGATTCTTCAGGAAGAAAATCTTCAAAGAAATTTTGTTTTATTAATAAAAATACTAAAATAATATATTTTTACCATTTATGATGAATAAAATATCATTATGAAAAAAAAAACAATAAATTCTTTTTTCAGTTATTCACGTCTCAATGTTCTAAAAATAGATCATTAGTGATTGCCTTGTGCAACACACTACACACGACCATAACTTGCGGGATTGACCATGCGGATGGAATGTTCTAGTGTGAATAACTTGATAAAATTGTATCTTCCCGATTTTCATATACGAAGGCGTCCGTGTTTAAGAAATTGTAAAAGATATAAAAGTATAGATCAACCGAAATAATAAAATGCCGAAGAAAAACAAAAAGGGTAAGTAGCCCGCGCCATATTCATCCATGCTTTGATCACGCGTGAGCTACGTAGTAGCCTAATTTCTCAGGAAAATTAGAATATAAGTTGAATTTTTACAAATAGGGGGGTGAGGATAAGAATCATCAAGAGATATAAATAAAGACATATTTTTACGATAACAGATTACCTGCAGTGAAGGAAAGAAAGGTAGCCCATTGACTTGAGATCGTAACCTTGACACGCATACAGCAATATTGTTTATCATTAGAGCACCAGCGCATTTAATTATGTCAAATTAATCTTAAAGTGTTCATTACTATATCAGACTCATAATGACATTTCTTGAACACTAATCTAAGTTTTCCCCACGCTTTATCGCCAAGGTATTGAAGTACTATTCTTCAATGTAACATGTACCATATGGAGCCATTTTGATGATTGAACATCCTACATTTTTATTGAAAGTGTTGACAAATTTAACTAGAGAGTAAATTTTTGTATGAATCACATCTCATACTTACAATACAATATTTGTCATTTAATTATTTTACAGGAAAGTGCAAAACAAATGACAACAATTTCCTTGTATCAAATGATGCACTTGTGTTTTGCCATATACTCTGACAATGTATTTAATGAATTTTTCAATTTACAGTTTTCTTGCTAAGTTGGTTAATGGTATACATAATGAAAAGATATATATGCAGTCCCATACAATGACAAATTTTAACAAATAATAAAAAAATAATCAATTTTTTTAAAAGAAAGAGAAACTGGGTGTAGTTTTCATGCATCTTTTGTTTTTCAGGGAAGGGGGCAAAGCCAAAGGCAACTCTAGATTCATTGCCGACAAGTGAGGATGACAGAGAAACGGCTGATAACTGGAGCACGGCCAGTATTCTCTCTGATGATGGACAACAAAGCAGCCTGTCAGAAGAAGGTAACAGTCGCATTTAGAATGAATACATGTACATCTTGATTATAGATTAACACATACTGCAAACCAATTTTTATTTGCGAAGATTTTATTCGGGATTTACTAGGGATTTATTAGTTTGCAACAATTAAATTTTTGCGATCAAGCTCTTTTTGATCTGAAGTTAGTAGAAACAGAGGCTTTAAGGACAGGTTCAGGGTGAGAAATATTTGCGATGACGTGCTTCTTCCGAACCTCGCGAAAATTTCTCGCAGGCAAATAAAAGTTGGTTTAGACTTTAGAGTATATTGATTGAAAGAAATTACAAACAGTAATAAATGCTAATTTAATGTAATGTTATGTGATGTAAATTTGTTAATTTGAAGGAGCAGGCCCTGATGAATCTACTGCTCAGGAGAATTTTGAGGACAAGCTGAAAGACTGTATTGATGGACTAGCTGAGAAAAGGTAGTGTTTGTTGCAGTTTAGTATATTTTAATCATGGATTCGGTCCCCACTGAAAATGAAAATTACTTTACTGTAAGTCTTGTATTCTTAATAAGCATGTTTATTTAAATGCGTCTTACTGTTTATATATGTGTCAACACAGTTGTCCCTAGGAATAGCATGGGGCATTCGAAAAGAAGAAGGGGGTCTGAAGTTCTGCCCCAAACGGGGGGTTGAAGGGGAATACAAGAATAACCAGAACATTACATCATTATAGGTGGGAGAATTCCACAGGTCTTAGGGACAACCTTGATCAATAAATATCCAAAAATGTTGTATTTCTTATTTGCATGATTTTTGCTCTCTGTCTTCACAGTGCACAGACCAGGAAGACAGCTTTAGATGGAGTAGCAAAGGCTCTGTCAAAGAAGTACATCATGGACTTCCTCATGGAAAGGTAGTCTGAAATATTTTATAAGGAAATCAGTGGGCAGGGATATTTATGATCAAGGAAAATAAAAAAAAATCTTATTGTGTGTCTAAAAGAAACTAAAGATTTTAAATGAAATCTTTTGTTGCATTCAACATTTTATAATTTTTTAGTAAGTCTACCATAGATAAACATTATTGTTATGCTCCCGTTCGAAGAAGGGAGGGCATATTGCTTTGCTGCTGTCTGTCGGTCGGTAGGTCTGTCGGTCCATTTAGTTTCCGTTCATTTTCTTCATAACCATTGCACATACTGAAATGAAATTTCGTATACAGGTATATCAGATGAATATCTAGGTCAAGTTCTGTTTTGGATTTTTATGCCCCTTGGACTTAGAAAAATTCCATATTTTTGCAGTTTCCGTTCATTTTCTTTGGAGAGGTTGCACATTTTGAAAAGGAATTTAGTATACAGGTATATCAGATGAATTTCTAGGTCAAGTTTTGTTTTGGGTATGATCGCACCATAATTGACAGAGTTATACCCCTTGGACTCAGAAAAATTCCAGTTATTTGCAGTTTCTGTTCATTTTCTTTTGAGAGGTTGCACATATTGAAATGGAATTTAGTATACAGATTAGTCAGATGAATATCTAGGATAAGATCTGTTTTGGGTACGATCGCACCATAATTGACAGAGTTATGCCCCTTGGACTTAAAAAAATTCCAACAATTTACAGTTTCCATTCATTTTCTTTTGAGAGGTTGCACATATTGAAATGGAATTAAGTTTACAAATTAGTCAGATGAATATCTAGATCAACTTAAGTTTTGGGTATAATCACACCATTTTTGACAGAGTTATGCCCTTTTGGACTTAAAAAAAATACCAATTTGTGGGGGAGGGGGGCATAAGTGTTTTACAAACATCTCTTGTTTATAATATTATTTATGTGAACTGCAGACAATGAAATTCAATTATTTAAGAAAAAGTCTTAAAAGGTGTTAAATATAGATATGCATGAAGATGCTTTTTGATGAATCCTGCTGATTGAGAATAGGCTGGGGTTAATTCCTACATGTATATTCTCTGTTTTTATAGGAAGGTGACTTTGACCGATTACCTGTTGAAGTGTCTGAAGAAAGGCAAGGGAGACGAGCAGGTGCTTGCTGCCCGTTGCCTGAGTCTACTGTGTATGCAGATGGGGCTCGAGGCGGAGGACATCTTCAGTGAGATACAACCTCAGCTACTGACCGCCATGACAGATAATTCTGTAGCCCTCAAGGCCAGGTCACAGGTGTGTATAGGGGGAAGAGATACTGAAAATTCCTTATTTTACACAAGTACTTAGTATTGCAAAATATAACATGGGATTTCAACACCGTGATAGTTAAAGTAATTAACTTTATTTTGCAATTGAAGATTCTTGTGAAATGATGCAATAATTATTTTTGTGTATAATTATATTTAAGGAATGAAGCTTTTTTCAACTTATATTATACGATATAACATTACTTGGGGCAGTTTACGCTTTATAAACCACGAAGTGGTTTATAAAAAAGCGTAAACTGCCCCAAGTTTTGCTATATCGTATAATATAAGTTGAAATAAGATTCATTCCTTATAATTTAATTTCAGTGCAGACGATGAGACAATTTTTCCCCCAGAATAAGGCTTCACATTGATTAAATTTTAAAAGTAACATCAATCAAAAGACGTGTTACAAGTAAAATTAAATTATGTAGGAATAGACATAGAGAAAAAAAGAAATATAAAATAGTTTAAGTTGCCCATCATTTCATTATACAGTGCCAAATAATTTATTATTCGGCCATCTGTTGGAGTCGGGTTCTTTTCAGTTGGTTAAGAGACTGCTTTTGAAAAGATTTCATTGCTTACAATTATTTGGATCAGTGGTGTTGGCCACAATCAGTTTTGTTAACACTGTGTATTATTTATGGTTATTGATTTTTCAGTGTGCCATTGGCTTGGCTGTCTGTAATTTCGTGTCCTGCACAGATATTGATGTAAGTACTGAATAAAATATGTGTCAGTCTGTGACACATTAATTTTTTACATGTATGAGGACTGAAGATGATCATTTTAAAAACTTTTTAAGTTTATTGCTTTATTGGAAATTTTATGAAAAGTTATATGCACATACTGTAAAAAAAATATGAAAGGCATGAAAAATTCTATGCTTTCAGCCGGCAAAATTATTTCTGTTGAAAAAAGAGGAATATTGATTACCAACAAGAAAAACTATCAAACTCTGCCACCATCAATATGAAGTTATCATAAATTATATATCTAAAGCTACTATTTTAATATAAATGGAGTGGAAGGATAAAAAAGTATGAAATGAGAAATTGAGGGTGGGGATGGGTGGTAGAGGTTGTTTCAATCCATTTTCACCATTTACTTTTACACAGATTGTAGTTAAGGTGCTTGATGCTTTGGAAGGGATTTTCAAAACCTCATACAGAAAGGGTGATAAATCCATCCCGTCCCATACACCAGACACCACACATCTACACGCCTGTGCTCTATCGGGGTGGAGCCTCTTGTTGTCTATAGCCCCATCTTTCCTAGTTATGAAATGTTTAGAAAAGTAAGTAATACTGTAAAACTAACGATCGAATATCAGGTTTGTATTTTATTATACACGGTAAAGGAATTCTTTTAGTACTGTTTCCTGTGTACTACTCTTTGGTTTACCGATTGTGAACAATAATTATTGAACACTGAATTGTTTAAATTTCTTTTATTTACAATTTTAAGAATATGTCGAGGACAGGAATTTATGGATATGTGTTCACACCAATGAAAATTTTACCCCTAATTAAAATAAGACATGTACACAGTCAGTGTTCTACTTTGCTGAATGTCAAAGTAAAAATCTTTCCTTGCATTCTGAAATCAAGTTCTAGACAGAACGTAGCCAAGGAAGTTGCAACTTTTTAGAATACCCCCTCTTTCATTTCAGACACATAGATCACCTGCCTGACCTGTTACACAGTTCAGACGTAGAACTGAGGATAGAAGCGGGTGAGACCCTGGCTCTGCTGTATGAACTGGCTAGGGAGGAAGATGAGGTAGACATATACAGGGAAATTTTTGCCCCCTGTTTTATTTTCACCTTTGCAAAATTTAAAACAGGGCAAATTCAAAGAAATGTGACAAGGTGAATTTAAAATGGGCAAAATTGTAAGCAAGTGTAAAATGCCGAAAATTAAGCGGGGCAAAATAACCCTGTATACAGTATATAGACACATTAATAACAGTCAAACTGCCTTACGATCTCTGAAACATAATGGGACTGAGAAAAAACTAAGGGATATCAAAAGATTAAAGATGCAAATTTTTTTTTCAATTGAATTTATTTCAGTTGTATAAATCTACTGAATACCAGTAAGTTTTGAAATGTCTGAGTTGATAAATGTAGTTTGCTTAAGACACTTGATGGAAATTTTTTCTTTTTTTTTTTAAATGTTATGGTATGCTATTTATGTGTTCTCTCTTGAAGGACTTTGAAGGAAAGGATATTGACAACCTGTGTGAGACACTAAAGAAACTAGCCACAGATTCCAACAAATACCGTGCCAAAAAGGACAGACGCCAGCAGAGGTCAAGTTTCAGGGATGTCCTAAGGGCAGTAGAGGTCGGTAAAATATACCTTTTCTCATTACCATAAGAAAATCTGCAACCTCCGAAGAAATGATACGGAAAAAAAAAATACAAGACTCTTTTCCATTGTTTTGGCATTCAAAGAAAATTGTAGGATTTGTATGATGCAAGGAAGTCTTTTAAAATCACAAAAAATTTACAGCAAATAGAAAAAAAAGATATTTTGGCATTAAAAGAAATTGAGAAATATGAATCAAATTTTATTTCTGTTGAGTGAATTTATTTCTAACAGGTATGGTAAGTATGGTGTTAAAATTCAAATATGATTCTTACAGACATGCTACTTCTGAAGACCCCAAATATGTGTAGGTAATCAAATGATATTATACAGAATAATTTAAAAAATGATGTTCTTTGTTTACAGGAAGGGGATGTACCAGACCTAACAATAAAATTTGGAACCGAGTCCGTGTTGATTGATTCCTGGACCAGGAAGAAGCAGTATGATGCCTTCTGTTTAGTCCTGGGATCCGGAGTCTATCAGCATCTGCAGGTCAGTGGATTTTAATCTTTACCAAGTCAGGATATTATGCTTAGGGAGTTGAAAAGTAGAAGCTTTCTTAATTTTAAGGAAAAGACCAGGATAAGACAAAGCACTAAGAAGGAATGTTTCATGTTTGATATAGATGTATCTGTCAAATATATGGATACAAATAGGTGAAAAACAACGTATAAGGATTATGTCCCTTTGAAATTGCTTTATTACTGATTTACCTAGAAATCATTCAAAGAAAAGTTTTTTTCTGTCCAAGTTGTGATCAGAAACTGAATTGCATGGTTTTTTTTACAGGATAACATTGTGGTTAGGGAAGTATTTGGACTAGGGGCACCTATACCTGTTGGCACTAAACCAGTTCAGAAAATCACTAAATGGGAGAGAGTAAGTAAATGTTGAAAACATGACTTTCAATTGATTTTGAAACTGTAGAAGTACTTTTTTCTGCGTAGTAATAATTCATGCTATGTATGCGGTCACAAATTTTCCACGAAAATTTGTACAATTGAACTAATTGCAAATATAATGCATGTAAAGAGAGTCTTAAGATACCCGCGTAATTTTCTACCAGTGGATTGAAAAGAATTAGATTCCGTCACCCCGTGGAAAAAAGTACGTCTACAGAAATCACAGGATGAATTTTATTTAGTTAATGGAATAATGACTGAGAGTATACTGAAATGTGACCAAATGAAAGATGATAACTGTCCAGGGCTCTCGATTCTCTAAAATTGGGGCCGTTCAACGGCCCCGTTCCCAATGCAAAAAAGGTACCTTTTTTCCCAAAAGAAAGGTGTAAATTTCCGTAAACTGGTTCGGGGAACCAGGTTACTGTTTTTACAAAAATGTGTACTAACTATGAGTGCAGAGTATCTTGTCATGTACTCATTTTGGTTTCAAATTAGTAAGCTGCACCTAGAAACATACCCACGCTTCGGCATGTTCAATTCATGGTATTGGTAAGCAAAGTTGTCCATGTGATCGAGGAAATTCGGGACCATGTGACTAGCGACTGTCACTCAGAAAAACAAATAACCGCAATATCAACATTCAAAGACAGTTATGACATAGCTATTGTACTTTCATAAAATAGCCTATGTACCCATGTTTGTCCTGTTTAACTGTTTATTCAAAACCAGATTTAAATTGATGACAAAATGCTAGAAAAGCAAAATTTGAGTATTTTTTTTAATGAATTTTGGTTATCCAACTTTTCCCAAAATGACGATAATTTTCCCAATTTGAACGGCCCCGGCCCCAGTCCCAAAAAGTGGTGTGAGAGCCCTGCTGTCTGCCATTCAGGCACCTTTCCAGATCTTATAAACCATGCAGTTTTCAGGATGTTTTGAGTTGGATCCTCTGTAAATTTTTTTTTGGGGGGGGGGGGAGGAAAATAATTCTTAAAATTTTCATCTTCTGATTCTTATGTGCAAAAGTTTAAAAGTGGAAAATTATTTTTTGTTGTTTTCCTTTTCAGACCCACTACAATGCTGCAGCCTTTAAGGCTCTCACCAAAGCTCGCTCCAAGCACAGAGACAAACGATCAGTCATGGTAAATGGGGATTGACAAACAGCATACTAGAAGACTGCTACATCTTTTTAACTTGTTTAGTGGCATCCTTTGAAGATGTACTCCTAATTATCTGTGATTGCGTCATCGTCTGCGGTTGGCTTGATGATGTCATCATCAAATTTTGATGTAAAATGTTGGTGTGTGTGCTCACACTGGTAACCAGTTGTATTGATTTGTGAAAAACCTCCTATAATTATGCTATAAACATATATATCTTTATGCACATTAGAAACCAATTATTTATTGAAGTCATAAAATGTATTTTAGTTTTCATGGTTTGTGAGTGTTTGTGCCATCATAGGCATCATTTGATCTGATTTTAGAAATGTCTAAGGTATATGTATTTTTCATTGATTTTATTTTTTGATGAATGAATGTATGTAGTCACACCCCCTTCAAAAATGGAGCAGTTTGAATGTTATTGAAAATAACTTTCTAGTTCCTTATATATCCCATGAATGAAAGAGCTATTGGATTGCTTATACATGTATATGATTATAATGTATGTGTATGACTTCATTGTTGCAGTGCTTTTTTGTCCATTTTTTTAAACACATTTTGAAGTTAATTAGAATGTTAGAAGGCTTTCCTTAGTTACTGTAGGTTCACTTGATTTGAAGTCAAGACAAAGTTGTCTTTCACTGCCATTCCAAGAGATTTTTTTCCCCCAAATTATGACTTTTTTGTTTGAATTGCAATAAGGTGCAAGTTTTCAACAAAGAAAATGTTATAAATATAACATTCAAAACCATTTTGATATTGATCATTATGCATAAATATCCTCCCAAAGTTAATATTGTTAAAAATATGGCAATTAATGTTTTGCAAAAATGGTATCAAAGATAAAATTTTCATGAATTCTGCTTGTGTTGTATATAATCTATGAAAATAGAAGTATTTGTGAGAATGAAATTCTCACAAGCAGTCTTTCTTGTGCAAGTACGTAAAAATAAAGTTCTTGCAATTAAAAAGTGAATTACAGTATATACATTTACACTGTATGCAAGATTTTCCCCGATCTAACATTTTTTGTTTGAACTCTGGCCAATTTTAAATCAGTTGTCCAAAGAAACGGTTTTCAAACCATAATTAGGTAATGGGTTTCAAACTCGCATATTTTCTGCAATATGGCTACTGATATTTTCGTCAACACTTTTTTGAAGCTGTCAATTTTTTAGCCCACCCTAGCAAAAAGACTAAAGTGAGCTTTTCAGATCATAACCTGTCTGTCATTTGTCTTTGTCAGCATTGCCACTGTAAATTTTTCACAATTTTATTTTCCTCTTCAAAATCTTTTGTCCAATTTCGATCCATCTTGGTTCAAAGCTTTCTGCAATAAAATGAATTTGCTTGTTTTCAAACTAAGGACATATCCCATTTCAAGGAGAAATTATGAAGTTAAAAGGCAAAAGTAAGGTTGCTTTCTTTTTAAAATTACCTAGAACCTTGAGGACCTGATAAGATTTGTGACATATTGAAGATCCTTGGTTTTATAAGTATGGAGTAAAAAATACTTCTTAAGAATGGTAGGGATCTGGAGCAATATCAATACACTACATGTAACATTATGTGATAGGTATTGAATTTATGTTTAAAAAGGGGCTAAGGGGAAGGATTGGTTTGCAGTAGGGATCAAAGTTTTAACGGGGTCGGGATATAACTGGAGTTAATAGATATTTGGGGTAAGTTTTTGGCTAAGATCTTCATTTTTACCTCACCTCAACGAAGTTGGGGGAGCTTATGTAATACCGTCGGTGTCGGCGTCCCAGGTTAAGGTTAAGTTTTTTGGAGCACTTTTCTTTTTAAGTACTTCTATGTCCTATATTGATTAGACATGCATGGAAGATGGTTCTAGTGTGTTTCATTGTACCAGTCAAAGTTTCAGATGCTGCAGTTTCAGCAAAGGAATGACCAGGTTAATGTTTTTGGAGCAGGTTAACATTTTTGGTGCAGTTTTTGGTTTAGATTTCATTTCCAAGTAACTATAAGCCCTATGTTGACTAAACTTGCATGGATGATACATCTAAGAATGCATACTACCGGACTTGCTTCGGATGCTGAATCTGACCTACATTTTCCGGTTGAGTGAACAGGTTAAAGTTTTTGGTGCAGGTTTCATTTCCAAGTAACTATAAGCCCTATGTTGACCAAACTTGCATGGATGATACATCTTAGAATGCATACTACCGGGCTTGCTTCGGATGCTGAATCTGACCTACATTTTCCGGTTGAGTGAACAGGTTACAGTTTTTGGTTCAGGTTTCATTTCCAAGTAACTATAAGCCCTATGTTGACCAAACTTGCATGTATGATACATCTAAGGATGAATACTACTGGGCTTGCTTATGATGCTGAATTTGACCTACATTTTCCAGTTGAGTGAACAGGTTAAAGTTTTTGGTGCAGGTTTCATTTCCAAGTAACTTTAAGCCCTAAGTTGACCAAACTTGCATGGATGATACATCTAAGGATGCACACTACTGGGCTTGCTTCAGATGCTGAATCTGACCTACATTTTCTGGTTGAGTGAACAGGTTAAAGTTTTTGGTGCAGGTTTCATTTCCAAGTAACTATGAGTTCTTTAATGACCAATCTTGCATGGATGATACATCTAAGGATGCATACTACCAGGCTTGCTTCGGATGCTGAATCTGACCTACTTTTTGTGGATGAGTGAAAATGTTAGTTTTTGATATATGTTTCATTTCCAATTAACTATGAGCCCTATAATGAGCAAACTTGCATGGACGATACATCTTAGGATGCACACTAATGGACTTGCTTCGGATGCTGAATTCGACATACATTTTTCAGATAATAGACCAGGTAAAAGTTATGGTTGCAGGTCTATTTCCAAAAAACTATAAGGCTAATATAACATAGTATAAACCAAACTTGCACAAATGATGCATCAAGAGATGAAAACTCTCAAATTGCTTCAGATGCTGGATTTTGATTACATTTTCATTAAGAAGAACTAGTTTAAATTTTTTATGTAGGTCTATTTCAAAGTATCAGATCAAAATTGCTTAAATATTTTCATTTTTGGAATGTACACTTTTTTGTTGGTTAATTGTGTGACTTTGCCTTACTTAAAGACAACATTCGTTGAGGTGAGCTCTGTAATCTCTGATTACCTATGTTTTTTTCATTGGAAAATAGGGGAAATACTTTGAAAAAAAAATTACGAACGCCTAGTCAATATAACTTGGGTGAGTGTTGTGGCCCATAGGTCATTCATATTTTAAAAAAAAAAAATTTTAGCTTAGATTATGCGTGTTAAATACTCATCTTTTTGATCCCTCAATAGTGAGTGCTGGCATATCCATCATGGATTATGTGCTTGTATACCATCTGATTTCTGTTCCATGTGGATTCTGACAAGTTGGTATCTACAAAATTATTGTTTAGGCATAATAGAAAATGGAACATTTTCCCCCACTTGTTGAATAATATAAGCTGATTATTATAATTGTGAAAGTGCTTTCTTTTGATTTAGTTATTGCAGTAACACCATGTGGTGTTTCACAGATGTTTTAATTTATTTACATACAGTTTCAAAATATTTTGACAGGTCAGAGGCCATTCATGGCATGGCGATAAATTTCATGCTATTTTTAGCAAATTGATTGAGAAGTGTAAAAGTTTCATCCTGTACATGTTGAAATAAATTATAAGCCCTGCAAATGAATTTTTTTTATATATTATTTTACAGTTTACATAGCATTTTTAAATGCTACAAACGAACAGCATTTTTAGCTCTACTGGTCAGAGACCAGAAGAGCTTATGCGATAGTAATGTGCCGGCGTCCGTCCGTCCGTCTGGCTGTCTGTCTGTCTGTCTGTCCGTCTGTCTGTAAACAATTTTTCAAAATGCTACTCCTCCTACAGTTTTGGTCTGATTTCAATATAACTTGGCATACAATTAGACTACACTTAAATACATAATTCTGTACATCGGTTTTTGATTTTGATGAACGTTGTTGCCGTGGTTACTAAAAATAGAAATTTCTGTGAAATTCTTTCAAAATGTTACTCCTCCTACAGTTTTGATCTGATTTCAATATAACTTGGCACACAAGTAGACTACACTAAGATACTTAATTCTGTATATCGGTTTTTGATTTTGGTGAACGATATTGCCATGGTTACTAAAAATAGAAATTTCTGTGAAATTCTTTTAAAATGCTACTTCTCCTACAGTTTTTGTTTGATTTCAGTATAACTTGGCACACAAGTAGACTACACTGAGATACATAATTCTGTGTATCGGTTTTTGATTTTGATGAACGTTGTTGCCGTGGTTACTAAAAATAGAAATTTCTGTGAAATTCTTTCAAAATGCTACATTTCCTACAGTTTTGGTCTGATTTCAATATAACTTGGCACACAAGTAGACTACACTTAGATACAAAATTCTGTATTTCAGTTTTTGATTTTGGTGAATATTGTTGCCTTAGTTACTAAAAATAGAAATTTCTGTGAAATTCTTTCAAAATGCTATGTCTCCTACAATTTTAGTCTGATTTCAGTATAAGTTGACACACAAGTAGACTACACTTAGATACAAAATTCTGTATTTCAGTTTTTGATTTTTATGAATAGTGTTGCTGTAGTTACTAAAAATAGAAATTTCTGTGAAATAATCTCAAATGCTACTCCAAATACACTTTTAGTCTGATTATAATATAATGTGGCATGCAAGTAGACTACACTAAGAACACAAAGAGACTTATAATCAAGGATCATTATTCTATTTATAGCTGTTGTAAAGTTTCAATTCCCAACTCTCTAAGTACTTTTTTCTTCCTTTGCTATAAGTGCAAACCAGTAGAGCTTCAGTCTCAACAGAGACTTCTGGTTTAAAATGATTTAAGCAGACATCTGATGCATGGAAGATGCATCTAGTATGTTTCATTATACATACCATTTAAGGTTTCAGATGATTTAGTATAAACTAAGGATTAACCAGATTAATGTTTTTGGAGCAGGTAACATTTTTTAATGTTTTTGATGCAGGTTTCATATCCAAGTAACTAAAGCCCTATGTTGACCAAACTTTCATGGATGATACATGTAAGGAAGCCTACAACCAGGATTGCTTCAGGTGCTGGATCTGACCTAAAAATCCAGTTAAGTGATCAGGTAAAAGTTTTTGGAGCAGGTTCATTCTGAAGTACATTTAGTTACATGGGGCTTATACCTATAGTTTAAATCATGTACATGTAGGTATAAGCCCCATGTTGACCAAACTTCTATGTATGATACATCTAAGGATGCGTACTAATGAACTTGCTTCAGATGCTGGATCTGACTTACATTTTCAGGATAAGTAAACAGTTTAATGTTTTTTCCTTCAATTCTCATTTCTAAGTAACTATAAGCCCTACCTGGACCATTCTTGCAACAATGATACATCTAAAGAGGCACACTACCAGACTTGCTTTGGATGCAGGATCAGACCTGCATTTTCCAGATGAGAGAACAGATTAGAAATCTTGGTGCAGCTCTCTTTCCAAGTAACTATAAGCTTTATGTTTACAAAACTTACATGAATGATACATATAAGGATGCACACTTATGAACTTGCTTCAGATGCTGAATCTGACATACACTTTCCAAATGAGTAACCACAGGTGAATGTTTTTTGAGGAAGCCCATTCCCAATTAAATATTAGCCCCTCCTGGCCCAAACTTGCAGGGATGATGCATCTAGGGATGTACACTACCAGCCATGCTTTGGATGCTGGATCTGACCTACATTTTCCAGATGAGTGACCAGGTTAAAAATTTTGGAGCAGGTTATTCCAAAGTGACTTTAAGCCCTATCAGACCAAACTTTCATGAATGGTGCATTTAGGGATGGGCACATACATGTACTTGACAAACTGTGGATGCTGGATCTGACCTAAATTTTCCAGATGAGTGACAAGGTTAAATGTTTTGGTCAGGAGCAGGTCCATTCCTTAGTAATTATAAATCTTACCTTGACCAAACTAGAAGAATGGATGCATCTACGGATTAACATTTTTCTTTTTGCTTCAGATGCTGTATTTAACCTATATTTTCCAGATAAGTGAATTTTAGCCTTACTTTAACTATATTAGCATGGATGTTTCTAGGGAAGAACACTTTCAGACTTGGTTCAGATGCCAGTTAGACCTGTGTTTTCCAGATGATTGAATAGGATAAAATTTTCAGAGTAGCTCTATAATTATGTAGCCTGTTATGATAAAACTTGCATGGATGATGCATCATAAGAATGGACACTTTCAGTTTTACTTCAAAAATCGAACTAACCAACTTGTTTTTGATGAAAGTTTTTGGAGCAGTTCCATTTCTAACTAACTAGTCATACTTAAACTAATCTTGCCTGGATATTCATTTATCTTGCGGTGGGATGCAAGTAACCAGAAAAAAATGTGAAATTTGCCTAACTTATAGACAACATTCGTCGAGATGAGCTTCATAATCTTTGATTACCTACGTTTAGTTTTCTCACTAAATTCGAATAAAAGTAAGTTTTGAGCAAAAACACTCATACTTCTATGAACCAGAAGTCTCTGTCAAGACTGAAGCTCTACTGGTTTGTACTTATAGCAAATTTAAAGGAAGAGAAAAGTACTTAAGCACTTAGCAGTTGGGAATTGAAACTTTACAATAGCAAGAAATAGAATAATTATCCTTGATAAAGTCTATTTATGTTCTTAGTGTAGTCTACTTGCATGTCAGATTATATTATAATCAGACCAAAACTGTAGGAGACGTAGCATTTTGAAAGAATTTCAAAGAAATTTCTATTTTAGTAACCACGGCAACACCGTTCATCAATCAAAAACTGATACACAGAATTATGTACCTTAGTGTAGTCTACTTGTGTACCAAGTTATATTGAAATCAGACCAAAACTGTAGGAGAAGTAGCATTTTGAAAGAATTTCACAGAAATTTCTATTTTTAGTAACAACGGCAACACCATTCCGAGAAATCAAAAACCAATATACAGAATTATGTACCTAAGTGTAGTCTACTTGTGTGCTAAGTAATATTGAAATCGGACCAAAACTGTAGGAGAAGTAGCATTTTGAAAAATTGTTTACAGACAGACGAACGAACGGACGCCGCACGCATTACTATCGGTCTTTGACCAGTAGAGCTAAAAATAGGCTGAGTTTCATAGATTATAGTTCTGATTTTAGCATCGACAAAATGAGGAAAATCTTCTTCTGAGAAAGAATGAGGGGGTAAATTGGATTTTGGAGTATGAGATAATTAAAAGTGATCAAGCTCAAAGTACAGTGAAACAAAGCAGATCAGGAGCAGAGCAAAATGATCTCTTAGAAACCTCAAAGTTCGGATCATGTACCATGGAGCAGTAAGCATCCCTTTTCAAACCGTCCATACTTTTATATATGATCCTTGTCCTAATCGTGCAAACAATGGTCTAACAATTACCAGGTAGTATGGAAAAAGTCAGTCAGCATCCGATTTAAAGATGGATAGTATTTGCTGACAAAGTCATTGTATCGACCATAGAACATACCAAATGTTGACTTGAAACTAGACTGTTGATATCTGTACTTGTTTGTCAAAAGCTTGCCTCGTTTTAGAAATTATTTGTACGTAGACATGCTCTTACGTATCGAATTAACTGGGAGACATAAACTCCTTATTGTTTCATAAACGAAGGGAGGTAATAATTGAAAAAAGGAGGATATTCAAAGTTTAATAGTCATATACTGAATTCATTTCACGAATGGGACAGGATAATTTTCTATTTTACGAGCACTCCCATATTCAACAACAAAATATTGAGTTTTCTATTCATGACATCTCTTGAATTTCCCATTTGCCTCTGTCTTTTAATATGAAGGAAAAACAAAATAAAGTGTCTTGTCACTTGTAAGCCAACATTTATTTATTTAACAGGCAGGTATAAGTTAACAGATCGTTTTCAATAATTGTCTTGAAAAAAGAGGCCTAAGGGCTTTAATGGTCACCTGAGTATGGTGCAAAATACAACACTGTAAAGGATCAAAAGAAGTAAAAAAAAAATTTACTAATGAAGTTATAACGCCCAATTAAATCAAAGCACCCTTTTAAATCAGCTCATGTAGGATAATATGTGCAGCATAATTCATAACCTCCCCCCTTTTCAATCCACATCCCCACCCCTATCTTCTAAAAAAAAATAAAGTTTCTTCTAAATAAACAAGTACAACGTCTTCTATTTCTTACAGCCATTCAGGCATATGATATTTTCAGTAGTAAATGCATCGAATGCGATGAAATGGAATATTATCCCGCATTTCCTCCGCATGTTCTCGTCTGAAGTCCCACAGGTAATGGTCAATCAGAATAGAATTCATTACTACGTCTTTCAGTGAAGAATCCTCCTTAATTAATTCCCTTGTTTTATCAGCAACAAGCTACAAGTAGAAAATATAACCACAATATATTCATGCAAATAAAATATATCAAATCAGATAATTTAGCAAAGACAAGCAGAATAGCCAACTATAAAATTAGTCGTTTGAATTCTGACGTATAAACATTTGCTAAATTGTAATGAACTATAAGTAATGAACTAAAAGAGAACATTAAAAATGTTTAAGAACATATAAAATGTTTAGGGACATATGAATAGAATAAACTTTGAATATTAATTTTCAGAATTCTCACTTCAGTCGCCCAAATGCTACAACCACGAATCTCTACTTCATAGCGGTCTCCCGATTTCATCATATGTTCTGATATATTAAAATAGGTAAAATAAATACATGTAGTTGGACTTATATAAGATAAATTATTATATAATTGTGTTATTGTATCAATAATTAAAATGTATCAACTATGATAAAAAAAAATAACCTATTAACTTATCATAATTCGTAATCATACATTTAAAAAAAAAAGAATTTTTCTTACCTTCTTTTAAATATTTCATAAGTTCGTCACTGTAAGACAAGGCTCCAAAGTGGTACAAAGCCTGGGGAATCCTGTAATTGCAAAAATACAAGAAGATGTTTAAATATTAAATGTTTATTTCATATTTAACCGTTTTAGATGAGATTTCTTAACATGTAGCTGAAGAACTGAAGCATTATAGTTTTATATGTTAAGTCTTTGACCAAATTGGTCAAATAATAAAATATAAAACCATGATACTACAGTTCTGCACCTAAAATGACATAAACAAAGAATACAGAATGGATACAAACTATATTAAATTAAAGTATGAATTTAAAAAATAAGAAGAGGAACTTCAACTAGTACAGAAAGTAAGATTTGTTTGAAATTTACCTGTAGTCTGCAAACATTGTGATTGTGTCAATGTCCTTAAATTCCCCAAAACCTTTCCCCTCGAAGCACGCCCAAATATCAGCAACTAAAATTTGGGCTCTCTTGTAAAATGACACTAAAAGAATATAATTATGGTTTATCATAAATAATAGCATGTTAAACTCTATGTATAAGTGTATTTTTACTCCATCCTATACCATGGGCTATCATTTGAACTAAATTAAATCTACACTATATGACGATATTTCCATATACGTGTAAATATGAATAAACATGGTTTTGCTTTTCTGAGATGAAGATTTTTTTTTCTACATATTCCTTAAATTTTGATCCCCAACGTTACCCCACCCTATCCCCTGGGTTCATAATTTGAACAAAAGTAAATTTTCACTATCTCAGTATGCTTCAAATTCCATATTAATATGATTCAATAGAGATTTGCTGCTCTTGAGAGGAAAATCTTTTTAAAAATCCCCTTTTTATTCCTAGTTAAAACTTTGATCTCCATTGTGGACCCGCCTCCCCCTTGGGTCATTTCAACAATTTTGAATCTAAACTATATATGTAGTAAAGTTTTTGAATAAGTTTTAAATTCTTGCCCAGTGATTCTTGAGAAAATTTTAAAATGGCCACAAAATTTCACCAATTTCAATTATCTTCCTTTGAAGAGAACACAGCCCTTTGTTTACTTGAATAATCTGGAATTCCCTTTACCCAATTGGTCTTTGCTGTTAGATTTATCCGAAATGCTACCAAACTGAAACAATCGATACAAATCATAGAAACTACACAAAGGCTTTAGTTAATGCATTAAAAAAATGTGAACTTATTATTAAGTCTATATATTCACAAAACCTTAGAATTTTTAAGTCTATGGACTTTCTCACAACTTCTTAATTTGCAACAAGAATATATCTGAAACCCCTTTTCTTTGCAAAAGAAATGTCAGGGGCGACATGGGTAAGTCAGGATAGACAAGGACAATGACATAGGACGACAGACAGCGGACAGGGAGGTCAGAGAATGTCAGGTGACGACATGGGGAAGTACGGGTAGACATGGACAGCGACAGAGGACGACAGGAAGGTCAGAGAAGTCAGGGGACAACAGAGAGTAGACAGGGGCAACGACAACGGACGACAGAGAGTGGACAGGAGGGGTCAGAGAATATCAGGGGAAGACAGGAGTAGACAGAATAGTCAGGGACAATGACAGGGGAAGACAGGGAGTGAACAAGGAGGTCGGAGAAGTTAGGGGACGACAGGGAGTAGACAAGGGCAATTACAGGGGACGACAGAGAGTGGACAGGGAGGTCAGAGAATGTCAGGAGACGACATGGGGAAGTCAGGATAGACAAGGACAGGGGACAACAGGGAATGGAAAGGGAGGTCAAAGAAGTCAGGGGATGACAGGAGTAGACAGGAGTAGAGAGGGGCAATGACAGGGAGTAGACAGGGTAGTCGGGGACAATGACAGGGGACAATAGGGAGTAGACAGGATAGTCAGGGACAATGACAGGGAGTAGACAGGGTAGTCAGGGACAATGACAGGGGATGACAGAGAGTAGACAGGGTAGTCGGGGACAATGAAAGTTGACAATAGGGAGTAGACAGGGTAGTCGGGGACAATAGGGAGTAGACAGGGTAGTCGGGGACAATAGGGAGTAGACAGGGTAGTCGGGGACAATGACAGGGGATGACAGGGAGTAGACAGGGTAGTCGGGAACAATAGGGAGTAGACAGGGTAGTCAGGGACAATGAGAGAGGATCATAGGTGTGAGTCAGGGAGTGAAAGGAACATGTCAGGGACTGACAGGGGGAGGACAGGGGATTTTTTGGAATCTAAGGGAATAATTAATTCAGTAGTGCATGCAGGGATGCTTTTGTGGTAAAAGTTTGGTGAAGATTGGCCCACTGGTTCTAGAGAATATATCAAGAACTTTTAAATCTAGGATCAAAAAGAAAAAAACAACATCGCATTAAGCTTTTGGAAATTTTAATATTAATTAATTAAGACATCCGTGTATAAACTAATACCTCTCTTTCCCTCGTAATCAGCTTCGTCTCTGTAAGAGGGGAAATCCTGGACAATCAAACGCATTAACGACTGTGCGCTTTTATTGCAGGCCTTAATGCAGTTTGAAAAATTTCCATCATATTTCTGTGGGGAAAAAAGTTTAACAATTTGAAATTGTGTCTTTTCAGTACTTTTTAGAAGATTCTTTTTCCCGATGTAAAGGAATGAAAAACAAATATTTGATGAAAAGGTCTAAAATTACACGGGTCTAGGGTAAGTACACAGTATTTATTCTCTTTGACCAAAATATAAATTTCCTTTTACAATGAAATAGGGAGATAACAAACAGCATTCAAGCTCAGAGTCCATTTCATTTAAACAATACAAAGTGGGAGCAGAGCAAACATGGACTTCCAAAAACCTCAGAGGCGGGATTCGGGTGCCATGAAGGAGTTAAAATTTTGGCTACAAGATTATTTATACACTGAATTGACGACGGTTTCTTGCGTTATTTCCCGATCATGGCAAGGAGCACACGGCGGGTGTGTGTGACCCGTCGGCAGTGGATGCTCACTCCTCTATGGTACCCAATCCAACCTCTGATGTTTTGGAGGTCCGTTTTTGCTTTGCTCTCATTCTGTATTGTTTTATGGACTTTGAAATCGAATACTGAACGTTATCTCCATATCCTTCTTGAATAAAATAAATGCTATTATAATGCTATTATCTGGGAGAAATTGGTTTAATTTATTTCTTTAAGTAAACGCAGTAACAAACTCATACAATACATTAAAACATTTCTTAACTTACTTCTAATAAAACTTTTCCCGCTTCTCTCAGAACTGAAACCCTTTGTTCTAATAATGGTATTGGTATATCAGAGTCTGATTTCAGAACCTCTGCAAGTTTCTTCTCGGTAATATCGGCGTAGAAACTGGCATCTGTTATTTTGACACCATTCTGTTAAAAAAGGGAGAGGGGTGACCATGCACAGAACATATACTTATCCATAGTAAGGTATTTAGCGAATTAAGCTAACAGCTTAAAGACGGAAAGATATCCAGCATAACAGATTACACTGTACTTTAAATTTTTTCTAGACATAAAATTTATACGAGTCGAATAGTAAGGAATTATAAATTCCAATATTGAAAAAAGTAATACTGGCACCAATTTCATTTCATACCAATAAAAAGATCTAATCCTTTAAAATTTTTAAACTATCTGATTTTATTGTGTAACTATCTATTTACCTCCAGCGCCCTATTGAGAGCGGCACACCATGACCAGTAGCCCGTGTACTTCTTCCCTTTATATCTGACGCAGTATTTCTGAGATTCGTCGTCCGACCAAAAAGAAAAGTTTAATGTGTCTGCTACAAATACCCTGTGTAAAACACAACTTCTCCTTAGTTTCAATACGATGCAGTATACTAAAGTAAAATCATTACTTTTATCTGATTATTAAAAGTTACACAATGCAGTCGATTCCTCACAAGACCAAAGAATATTTACAAAATCAAGAAAGCTTTTTATATGTATGGAATGTATACGGAATTTAAGGGAAATTACTTAAAATTATACGTGCTATATACGAGAATATGAAATCCTGTGTCAATCGGCAAGAGTTTTATCAGAGGTTTTTGAAAATACCCAAGGTCTGTTACAAGGAGAAGTTCTGTCCCCTAACCTTTTTTCAATGCATGTAAATTGATTTTGAGACCGAATTCATTAAATACAATAACGTTCGTTTTGAACTTCAAGATGAATCCTTTTACTTTGATGTATGCAGACGATATGGTCTGTTTTGCTGAATCTGTACAAGAACTACAACAAATGTTAAATACTTAGTATGATTATGCCTCGAAATGATCTGACCATTAATGTTGAGAAAACTAAAAATTTTAATGTAACTCAAAAGCAGCTGCCTGTCAAGGTAAAAAGCAATGTTCTGTCTAAAATCTATGGTAAGTGAGCTTAAACACTGAAACTATGCTCTCACTTTTTGTTACAACTTAACTACGGCTGTAGAGTTTTGAACAACCAATGGATATGGTTACGAATTGGGCTTTTAATATTAAAGATAAACTATTCGCAATTGGATTAGGATACATGTGTACTGACCAAGAAAGAATTGGTTGTAACAGCCATGCATTTTTATAATTATAAAGCAGGAATTATTGACAACTATGTCAGAATATCTTTGCAGATATCAATAATTCATCAAGTTGTATGTTATTCAAGAACATTACTGACCACTTCACACTGCAATATTATTTGGTAAAGCCTATTTCTTCCATTTATAAAAAGCAAATTAGCAAAATAAGATTATCCTCACATAATTTAGCTATAGAAAGTGGACGCCATAAAAATATCTCACGCGAGAACAAATTGTGTGGATCTGAAATTGAAGATGAAATCAATTTCATTTTGAAATGTCAACGATATAAGGATTTATGAGTAAAATATATTTTTAATTTTTCGGGGAAAACCATCAATGTTTAAATTCATACAACTGCTATGTGCACCCAATGTTAAGGACCCTTCAAATTGTAATCTGGGAATTTTTCTGTACCATGCTTTATTACGTAATGACTGTCATACTTTCTTATAAATATCTAAAGAGAAAAAATGGTTTTTAGCTCACCTGAGCCGAAGGCTCAAGTGAGCTTTTCTGATCAAAATTTGTCCGTTGTCTGTCGTTGTCGTTGTCGTAAACTTTTCACATTTTCATCTTCTTCTCAAGAACCATTGGGCCAATTTCAACCAAACTTGCTACAAAGTATCCTTGGGTAAAGGGGATTCATGTTTATTCAAATGAAGGGCCACACCCTTTTCCAAGGGTAGATAATTATGAATTAGAGAAAAATTAATGGCATTTTTAAAAAATCTTCTTCTCAAGAACCACTGGGCCATGAAAGATGAAACTCATATGGATGGAATCATCCTCAGGAAGTGTAGATTCAAGTTTGTTCAAATCATGACCCCCGGGGCTAGGGTGGGGCCAAAATGGCAGACCCAAGTTTTACATAGGAATATACATAGGAAAAATCTTTAGAAATCTTCTTCTCAAGAACCACAGGACCAGGAAAGATGAAACTCATGTGGAATTATCCTCAGGTAGTGTAAATTCAAGTTTGTTCAAATCATGACCCCCCGGGCTAGGGTGGGGCCAAAATGGCAGACCCAAGTTTTACATAGGAATATATATAGGAAAAATCTTTAAAAATCTTCTCAAGAACCAGTGCGCCAGGAAAGATGAAACTCATGTGGAATAATCCTCAGGTAGTGTAGATTCAAGTTTGTTCAAATCATGACCCCCGGGACTAGGGTGGGGCCAAAATGGCAGATCAAATTTTTACATAGGAAGATACAGGAAAAATCTTTAAAAATCTTCTTCTCAAGAACCACTGGGCCAGAAAAGATAAAACTCATGTAAAATTATCCTCAGGTAGTGTAGACTCAGATTTGTTCAAATCATAACCCCCGGGGCTAGGGTGGGGCCAAAATGGCCGACCCAAGTTTTACATAGGAATAAATAGGAAAAATCTTTTAAAATCTTCTTCTCAAGAACCACTGGGCCAGGAAAGATGAAACTCATGTGGAATTATCCTCAGGTAGTGTAAATTCAAGTTTGTTCAAATCATGACCCCCCGGGCTAGGGTGGGGCCAAAATGGCAGACCCAAGTTTTACATAGGAATATATATAGGAAAAATCTTTAAAAATCTTCTTCTCAAGAACCACTGCGCCAGGAAAGATGAAACTCATGTGGAATAATCCTCAGGTAGTGTAGATTCAAGTTTGTTCAAATCATGACCCCCGGGACTAGGGTGGGGCCAAAATGGCAGATCAAATTTTTACATAGGAAGATACAGGAAAAATCTTTAAAAATCTTCTTCTCAAGAACCACTGGGCCAGAAAAGATAAAACTCATGTAAAATTATCCTCAGGTAGTGTAGACTCAGATTTGTTCAAATCATAACCCCCGGGGCTAGGGTGGGGCCAAAATGGCCGACCCAAGTTTTACATGGGAATAAATAGGAAAAATCTTTTAAAATCTTCTTCTCAAGAACCACTGGGCCAGGAAAGATGAAACTCATGTGGAATTATCCTCAGGTAGTGTAGATTCAAGTTTGTTCAAATCATGACCCCCGGGATTAGGTTGGGGCCAAAATGGCAGACCCAAGTTTTACATAGGGATACCTTTTAAAATCTTCTTTTCAAATACTTCAAATCCATGATTAGTGATATTTATAAGGAATCATCCTCGGGGGGGGGGGGGGGGGGTTAAAATTCAAGCCACGCACCTCAGTAAACTTTCAGTTCTGATCTGATATGTGCTTTTTCCTTGCCGATGTACTCAGGTGAGCGCTGTGGCCCCTGGGCCTCTTGTTACATTCTCCATCATGATACTGATTGTATATCCATTAATGCTGATGAAAAATACCTGCACCTTGCTTTACTGTTAATTTGTTATAAATTTACATTGTATACAATAAGATGCAGGTCTTACCCAATAAAATGAATTGAATTGAATTACAACAAATGATTTTGTTCCACTAGCGGTCAAATTGATGTTATTTTATTATAATATGTTATATATTCAAAATACTGGATGTCGCATCCCACGATAACTTCTCAAAGCATTGCTAGTACTTTTATTTTCTTCACAGGCGTCAGAACCGGGGCGGGGGGGGGGGGGGGGGGGGGGGGGGGGGAGGGGGAGGACTTTCAACTTGCTTTCGACGCCTATGTTCCTTTTATCTATTTTACAATGTACATGTACCTTTACCGGCAGATAACAAACCTAATATACCTCTTTTTATTCTGAAACTCAAACTTTTATATCAAATCAATAACAGGCGTGAAAAATAAATAATACTTATTCTGCTCTCTACACACAAAAGAAGGAAATTTTTAGATAAATTTTCATGTCTATATCAAAACCTTTGGCCAAATATAAAAAAAAATAAGGAAAACAAAAATTATACGCAGATGAAAAGGTACTGACCAGTGGAGGGCTGATTCGTCCTGGGTCCGAGGGTTTAATTCGTGCTCCGTTCGCCAGGACTGGATATTGTACGTACTCTTCTTAGCACACTCATACATCTTTGATGGACAATATTTTAAGAGAAACAAGAAATGTATGAGAAACACTTATTGCTCTTCCCCAATTTGGACAAGGGACATAGCTCTATCAAAAATTGCTCGATCGTACCCAAAACACAACTTGATTTAGATATTTTTATGACAAACCTGTATACCAAATTTCATAAAATTTCAGAATGTGCAACCTGTGCAAAGAAAATGATCGGAAATTGTTGGTAGACCGACAGACCGATCGAAAGAAATATGTATCACCTTCTTTGAAGGGAGGCATAAATATTCACATCATTATAAACTAGTGCTAATTGTAACGGGAACCGTTACAGATGTTCCCCAAACGCTCCCCAACTCCCTTTTAGTTCCATATTCCCTGTAATATACTATTTGTGAAAGCATTCAGTCCAAAATTATTAAAAATCACTCATTCAAGTGTATTTCTAATTTCATTCGTTCCAAATGCACGCACGTGCGTGCACGTGCATGATGACCATACCTTCTTGTAGGAGTCCCTTATATTTATTTATGTTCTGAATCCCATCCTGTTTGGTTGAAAAACAAGGGAGTTATAGCCATTTCAAGTGTCAGCCAATCAGATTGCAGCACACGTGCATGCGCGTGATTTCATGATCATTTTTCTATATGGCATTGTAGGATATCCTAATGAATGATTATGTTTTAAATTTCAAAGCATTTCGTCAAAAAACAAAGGAGATATAGTCATTTAAAGTTTCAGCCAATCAGATCGCAGCACACGTGCATGCGCGTAATTTCTTGAAATTTTTTGTATATCATATTGCAGGGCATCCTAATGTATGACTATGTTTTAAATTTCAAAGCATTTCGTCAGAAAACAAAGGAGATATAGTCATTTAAAGTTTCAGCCAATCAGATCACAGCACACGTGCATGCGCGTAATTTCTTGAAATTTTTTGTATATCATATTGCAGGGCATCCTAATGTATGACTATGTTTTAAATTTCAAAGCATTTCGACAAAAAACAAAGGCGATATAGTCAATTAAAGTGTCAGCCAATCAGATTGCAGCACACGTGCATGCGCGTGATTTCATGAAATTTTTTCTATATCATATTGTAGGATATCCTAATTCATGACTATATTTTGAATTTCAAAGCATTTCATCAAAAAACAGAGAAGATACTGAGATTTTTGTTTTAGCCAATCAGAGCGAAGCGCACGTGCATGCGCGTGAGTTCGTGCTAATTTGACAGTGTCACATTATCAATAGTATTAATATATCTTTACATAATGAGTTTCAAATCATTTCATCAAAAAATGTAAAAGTAATAGCTATTTTAAGTATATCAGTCAATTCACTCATTTCACGCGCACGCACGTGCGTGCGTATGCGCGCAAAATGACCTTCGTTCCGCACACCTACACTACACACCTATTAACCCTAATAAGGTTTTAGCTCAGTTGGGTGAACAGTTTCTGAGAACACTCGCGGACAAAAAAAGTACAGGAGAAGAAATAAGAAAAAAAATAATAATAATAATAACTAGTGCTAATTGTAACGGGGACCGTTACAGATGTTCCCAAACGCTCCCCAACTCCCTTTCGGTGCCATATTCCCTGTAAGCTTCATTAAATAAGACAAACTCTGTGCATTTTTGACTTTAACAACGTTTTCCCAGAAGGATACCAATTATATAATTCAATTTGAAGCATTGCACCCAAGCGCATGTGAATGCATGTGCGTTATGACCATATCATCTTGTCTACACTTTTTATATATTTTAATATACTATATATTAAAGCATTCAGTCCAAAAGTAATAAAAATCACTCATTCAAGAGTATTTTTAAATATACTCATTTCACATCACGCACGTGCGTGCACGTGCATGATGATCATACCTTCTTGTAGGAGTCCCTTACATCTATCTATGTTCTAAATTCCATCCTGTTTGGTTGAAAAACAAGGGAGTTATAGCAATTTAAAGTTTCAGCCAATCAGATTGCAGCACACGTGCATGCGCGTAATTTCATGATTTTTTTTTATATCATTTTGTAGGACATCCTAATGCATGACTATATTTTAAATTTCAAAGAATTTCGTCGACAAACAAAGGAGAAATAGCAATTTAAAGTTTCAGCCAATCAGATTGCAGCACACGTGCATGCGCGTGATTTCATGATTTTTTTCTATATCATTTTGTAGGATATCCTAATGCATGACTATATTTTAAATTTCAAAGAATTTCGTCAAAAAACAAAGGAGATATTGCCATTTAAAGTTTAAGCCAATCAGCTTGCAGCACGCGCACATGCGCATGCTTTCTTGAAAATTCTAATACATCATGCGGTAGATCTTTATATTGTAGGACTATGTTCAAAATTTCAAAGGATTATGACAAGAAACAAGAAAGTTATTGAGACTTTAGTTTCAGCCAATCAGAGCGAAGCGCACGTGCATGCGCGTGAGATCTTGCTATTTTGACCATGCTATCTTGTCTATACTACAAATGTATCCTTACATTATGAGTTTCAAAAAATTTCATAAAAAAATAGAAAAGTTACTGCAATATCCATTATATTGGTAATTTCACCTGTTGCACGTGCGCGCTCTTGCAAGCACGTGCGCGCAAAATGACCTTTGTTTGGCAACTCTACATAACATGCCTACTAACCCTAAAAAGGTTTCACCTAAGTCGGATGTGTAGTTTACAAGATCACTCGTGGACAAAATTTTCCCAGGAAGAAGAAAAATAATAATAAGAATAATAATAATAAGAAACAGAGTAAAAACAATATGTTCCCCAACTTCGTTTGGGGAACATAATAAGAAACCGAGTAAAAACAATATGTTCCCAAACTCCGTTTGGGGAACATAATAATAAGAAACAGAGTAAAAACAATATGTTCCCAAACTTCGTTTGGGGAACATAATAAGGCAGCAAAATTCAAATTCTCATTTCTCTACTAAGATTTTTACATCGGGCTCGGAGTTGGTTTTCTTCAGAAAGACAGGACTGGGTTCAAGGCGACTAGGGGTACCACACCGGTAATTGACCAATCAAAATGAACTTAGTCAATTGTAGGTCCATACATTAAGCCGATTTTCCTTTCTTTTGAGAGTTTTTTTAATTTCCTTCCAGGCCAGTTTGACAACTCTGGTACCTGTGCCTAGGAAATTTTATCTACTCTATAAATAAATAAAGTTTTTTGACAGGAACTATTTCTGCAGGGCATAGGAGGCTACTTCCTGGGGTGCTTTTGTGATGTTTATAAAGACATGGAAAACACGTGGATTTGAGGGTAGCCCTGTTTGCATTTGCAAATTAATCAGAAAATGTCGTGTACGTACCCTGGTTTTTTGGTGTCAGCTAATGTGACAGGTATTGTTTAACACCCCCTTATCAATATTTTTTCATGAATTCAAACACGTGAGGTTTTACTGGAAAGAAACGTGTATTGCTTTTTAATATACCGAAACTCGCTATTTCTGGGGATTGTGTAATTCTAAAGAAAATTCAGATAAATTTCAATGGTGAAATAAAAGAAGAATGCTTGGTATTAAAATATTAATTCATATCAGTAGAATTGAATGCTATTAACGACATCTGGAGAAATAGGCTTTAAAAGGTTTATATCATATCTTTGTTCGTCTGCACTTAAATTTCAAACACGACAGAATTTGTAATTTTTGCCGTAAAAATTCATAATTTCTATATACTTTAGAGACTTACCGTAAAACTTTCAGGAAACTTTCTATGAAGTCTTTTCTGCACCTTAAGTGAAATTTTATGTCGATCCCAGGTGTTGATCGAGTTTCAGAGAAATTTTCTACGTTGTTATTGATTTTTTTTTTTTTAAGGAGAAGGGGGGGGGGTTGACTTTTTTCTTCTAAGCATTTGTTAAAGTGAGTTTGTAAATACATCTACGAACTTGAGCTGGATTGTGACCTTTGGGTCAAGGGGTCAAAGGTCAAGGTCAAAGGTCAAGGTCATCAAAGCATTTCATAAAGAAATATAAAAGTAACGGCCATATCAAGTATACAAGTCATTTGATCATTGCACGCGCGCGAAGGTGCAATGCATGAAAGCTATATCATCGTGACTACACTTTTAATGTGTTTCTATTCTTTGAATTTTGAAACGTTTCATAAAAAAAATTACGACTATATCAAGTAAATCGGTCATTTAACGCATTGCGCGCGCACACGTGCATGCAAGTCCTTGCATTCAAGTTTGATAGTAGCATAATGTAAGAATCCGTCATATCTATTCATATTCTAAATTTCATCCTGTTTTGTTGAGAATCAAAAAAGTTATAGGCATTTAAAGTTTAAGCCAATCAGATCGCAGCACACGTGCATGGGCGTGGTTTCTTGAAAACTTTTATATATCATAGTTTAGGACGTATTAAGGTATGATTATGTTTTAAAATTCAAAGTATTTTGTCAAAAAACAAGTACGATATTGAGATTTTTGTTTCAGCTAATCAGAGCAAAGCGCACGTGCATGCGCGTGCATGCATGTGCATGATGACCGTAACTTCTTATAGGAGTCTATTGTGTCTGTCTATGTTCTAAATCTCATCGTGGTTGGTTGAAAAACAAGGGAGTTACAGCCATTTGAAGTTTAAGCCAATCAGATTGCAGCGCACGTGCATGCGCATGCTTTCATGACAAATGTTATACATCATGTTGTAGGACATCTTAAAGTATGCTTATATTTTAAATTTCATACCATTTCGTCAAAAAACGGAAAAGATATTGAGATTTTTGTTTCAGCCAATCAGAGCGAAGCGCACGTAAATGCGCGTGAGTTCTTGCTAATTTGACAGTGTCACATTATCTACACTATTAATATATCCTTATATAATGAGTTTCAAAGCATTTCATCGGAAAATGTTAAAGTTATGGCTATATTAAATATATTAGTCATTTCAGTCATTTCACGCGCCCGCACGTGCAGGCGTATGCGCGCAAAATGACCTTCGTTCCGCACACCTACACAACACACCTATTAACCCTAAAAA